GTAGCACCCCACTGGACACACGCTGGCTCCTTGGCCACCACAGTCCACATACCCGGTGCCTGCTCACGCAGCCGACCTGTCCTTACTCAGCGTCGGCCCGTAGCACCCCACTGGACACATGCTGGCTCCTCGGCCGCCACGGTCCACGTACCCGGTGCCTCACACGTAGCCGACCCGTCCTTTCTCAGCGCCACACCAGACCTCTCGTTCGCTCCACTCTCTCGGCTCTCACGGCACACTTCTCTTACGCCCGATTCACAGCTCTGTTCTTTCCACACTCCCTTTCCAAACCACTCTTCAACACTCTCCCTTTCCATCTGTCTATAGACACAACAATGCCGAATACGACAATGCCAAATACAACAATGTCTATAAACGATTACAACAATGCCAAACCCAATAATGTTAATAAACAGACAACAATGCCAGACGCGAAAATGTCAATAAACAGACAACTAAACTGTTTATTGACATTGTTATGCTGCTGTCACAGCAACACGTCACAATATCCTGTCAAAGTGTAATGAATGTTTGGAAAGTATAATGGACTTGTCATTTAATGTTTCTTTATGATATATTTACTGTTCAAGTTCCAGCCTCATTATCTCAACATTAAATTCAACATCGACCAGACTACACAGCGCAACAACCCAGAAGACAGAAATCCTCATCGCCCTTATGACGGAGGCAGTATGACCTCTGAAACACTGGTAAACATCGACCAGACTACACAGCGCAACAACCCAGAAGACAGAACTCTTCAAAACAGAATTTCATTATTTGCATGGATATGCAAGAAAACCTCAAATCTTACATAATAAATTCTCTTACACAAGAAAAAAGATATGATAAGAAATAAACAGGATACCATTTATACCATTGCCCCTCTTTATTTGAACCTAATTCAGTTCTTTCATTAATGTTTTACATTAAACACAGTATCTTGTTTTCCAATGTTAATCAGTGGCAGGCATATTTCTGTACACTGACACAAGTTAATATATCAATTAGTGACTAGTGGCCCAGTGGCACAAAGTTGTCCTTGTTCTTCCTTATGTTGCTTCTTTTGTTTTCATCCACACAAAACTTCTCTTCTTCCTTGAAGTAATCTTGTAACTGATGCAACTTCAGAATATAGCTAGCTAGATATAAAAAAAACATTCAGATTTTAACAATAACCAATAACAACATAGAAACAAGGCAATGAGCTAATTACCTGGCAGAAACCAGTGATTGTTCTTGTTAATGGCAATAAAACAAACAAGTGTTATTAGGCTTGCTTAAAGACTGTAACTGCCTATATACAGTCTTTGCAGGCTATTTTTGCAATTAATGAGAGAATTTTGGTTACAGAAGGGGTGAAGAGAAGACTGAAAAAACATATTTTGTATGAACAGACTTACTACTAACAACCAGAAAAATTAAAGGAGGTATATTTGAAATTACCTGAAATGTGATACATATATTACAAGTTCTTTTATTACATATTATGCCTTACGGTCAAAACAGACTACTGTCCACAGATGACGAGAAAATCCCTGCTGGGGGAAGTCGTTTCTGGTGCGGTGCGGGGGGAATGTTTACTGCCTGATGGACTAGAGGGCTGCTATTGGTGGGAAGTGTGATACGTCAGCGTTTTACGCTACTACACACAGACTGAAAACATCAAGCAGTTTAGCAGAGTAGTGTGTAGTGAGCGCACCTCTAATGTGTTCTGCGGGTGTTGCGATAATATTCTAGATTCAATCACTGTGCTACTGTGAGGTAATCTTAAAGCTGTACCCATTTGAACACATGAAAGCCTGTCGTCTGTTGTTCGTTCAGTGGTTGTGGAACGAATGCTTTTAGGATCGGTCATCACTCACCGCGAAATCTTGCGCATGCACGTGTATCGCATTCCTAGCAGGGATTTTCTCCTGGTCTGCGGACAGTACTTGTTGATTAGAGCTCCACTGCTCAGTGCTATTCCTCCAAGTAGCAGATTAATCATTACTACGTAGAACCAATCAAAAATGTGTATTATTATAAATTTGGTATCTTCATTCTAATACCACGTATCCATATTTTTGGAGAATCGTATTTCAATACACCTGCGCCATATCACGTGTTTTGTCTAAAATGTGAATTGTATTGAAAACTAAATTTTTCTGATACATGATATCAGAAGACCACCCTAAAAAGGCTTACAAATATTCCATAAAATGCAGGCATGTGCTATTAGGATGAAGATATTAATAAGCTTATATGTGATTTCCTTGCTATTTTTTTTACATTAAATCCCATGATCCATGCAGTTTTTCCATAATTTTAATTGAGAAACTGAATTTAACATAGCACAATGATGCTTGAAAATGAAATGATATTACTGAAGAATGAGTGTGGACTTATAATTCTGCTCGAATACATACCATCTAATTCTGCTACTGTTGGAAGTTCTCCGCCAAAATCTCGAGGCATACTGTTCTTGGGCAGATATTCATAGATAGATTCATCATTCCTTTTATGAAAATGAATCTGGAACGTAGTATGGCAAAATTAATTTAGATCAGTATTATAAATTGATTGTGTCAAGAGTTTTGCATTCTTTATTTCTGTTAATAAAATAAGAGTTCAAATCATAGGTGAGTACTGTTTATAAAAAGTTCTGGAAGGTGCTAATGATAGCTACTTTGTGGTAAATGATTCTATCAAAAAATTAAGTTATATATATATATATCCCACTAACAGAAAATGTTTGCAGTAAATAATAAAGGAACCCTCCTTTCCCTGGCCTAAAAGGCCATAGAGCTAGCTTGTAACCTAATGGTACCAGTGGTTATCGCTTAATATCACCATTACCCATAAATAATGTTCATTGGAACTGTGATTTAAAATTAACTGGATTGCTCATCTCTACATAACTCAGAGATACATGTAATTGATAAAATTATTTAACCTACCAGTTTCTGAAGCTCTTTATTCATAAATGGCTTGGTGAGATACATAATTTGATCTGCAATAGGAATTGTATTTAATATGTGAATGGCTTTCAGTCGGACAGGCATACCTTCCTGCAAGATATAAAGGAAAAAAAGAAAACACTAAAAATATGAAAATGTTGTAATGATGTAAATAAGTAATCATTTTTACACAATGATGGGCATAAATTTACATTGACAGTACACGAGTCATAAAGAAGAAATATTTTATTTATTTGATTAAAGTTATGTTATGAAATGATTAAAATATGATCTGAACTTCCTTTCTTTTCTTGAATCATCGTATTTCACCTTTGTCTAGTATGTATTCTGTGTACATGCTATATTTTGTTGTTCTGTGGAGCATTATTGCTGGTTTTTTTAAGAAGAATCTTTTGGATGTTAAACTTTATAGGTCTGTCAAGTGTTGTGTGTGTTGATTGCTCTACCTACAACCTACCAGTAAGTCCTTTAAATAATTTGATAAGGCTGGCTTCAGTAACAGTACACACTATAGACTTTTAGTGACACTCTGAATGTCATAGTTACAGAGGTTACAGTAAATACAGCTGAGATAATGACCTGGATATAGATGAGTATCTTGTGAATTAAAGAGAGACTTAGTTTGGTGAGATGACCAAACCTCAGACCTGTCACATCAAACACAATAACAATGCCAGGTGATGTGCCATCATGTTGGATGCACCAGTCGATCATCATGAAGTATACCCTGGCAGCATCAGCAAAAGAGTATTTTGATGGCTCAGTTTGCTTTAGACTGTGAAATATAACATTGTTGCCATTTGGGTCTGTAACAGGTAGTACTATGTAGTTTCTGGAAACAATAAACAATTCATCACCACCTTCTAAGAATATAAAATAGTTTGAGCTTATATTATGTGACTTTTTTGTAGTTAGTCTACTTTTCTTTTTACAGCTTACTGTTTGGGAGAAATACACTGTTGTGTAATTTTTAGACATTCTGGTGACATTTAAAAAAATGATAATTTTTCTAGGGTTGTCTCTCTGAGAGGAATATCTTTTGCATTCACCATTTTTCTATGGCATGGCTCTGTGAAGAAACATGTATAAGATTCTTGGTTACCCCTGTGCCTAATTTTCAAAATAGAAACAGTTTTTTCTACTCCCAGGATTGTCTCTCTAAGAGGAACAGTCTTTGTTTTTACCATTTTTTTCTATGATGTGTCATTTGTGAGAAACAAGGTGGGACAGCTGGACATTTAGCTATTTTGTATACATAGATTATTATACATCTCCTATCAGCGTGTGAAAGAAGTCTGAATATATTTAATGTTATAAGTGAAGAACAACACACTATACTTACAGAACTGTGAGCATTTTCTGGTTCTCTGGATGTTTCAAATCTCTGTTTGTAAATATTTCCGGGGTTTTGGTCCTGAGAGTATAGTATGTCTCAATGCAGTTTTTAGTCCGAGCCACATCATAATAGCAACTGTGTAGAAATACTATTAGCTGCTCCTCTACAATAAGGTAAAATATTAATTAAATTTATGCACTGTATTCATGTCCATAAGTACTTAAATTTAAAAATGATATAATTTGTCGTGTATTCACAATCCATCATTCATTAACATGTCCTTGTAAAAATAGTGCCAGGTAGATTTTACTCTATAACTTCAATGTTCAATATATATTATTTACAATTTAGGGCTTATAACTGATAATATTAAATCTTTAATGTTGAAATAGTAACACAGGCTGTTCATTTAATTCATAAACTGTACAAGAAATAATTATGTCAACTGTAATTTGCATCATAGATTGGCCTTTATTGACTGATTTTCTGCTTTCCACATGAGAAAAATATAAAAACTTAATACTACCTGAAATAGATGGTAAGTGCATTTGTGTTCCCAGCCAACATTTTAGTTCTTGTAAATCTTTCTTCTTTAGTTCAGGATTCTTGGTAAATTCATCATTGATGTTTTCTTGTGTTGCAGTCATGTTTGTTTATATCTAGACATATGTTAGAGTACTCTTAATTTGTAGTACATTGAGGTGGGGAGGAGCAAGACCTAGGCATCTGCATGGTTTATTGTACCCAATGATTTTTTTGAATAGCTGACTTTTTTTCTGACTCAGACAACTTTAATATTCGTTTGTATCCAACTTAATTGTTTCCTTTTATTTTTCCTCCTGCTGTTTTTATTTTATGAAAGAAAACAGAGCTGAACAATTTTCATACTCTTCTGAGTTGGCATACACAGTTTAGTTTCTAGCTCTGCACAATGGTTACGTCCACTTCATTTGTGCATACAATCAACTCATAGGTGTTATTTGCAAGTCACATAATAATTATGAGACTTAAATGTATTGTGAAGTGACAGCATTTAAGTTTTAAATAAAAACATTTATGCTTAATTAACATTCTTTCACATCCTGTGACCTCACAGATGGCAATATTACTCTTGTATGCATCAGTTATTTATGGATGTTAGACAATTGGTGAAATGAATGAGACTGTTTGAAGTGGGAAGTTTCATGAAATATTTAGGCTGAAAAAAGTAGGATGATTTATGAAATCTCTTAGGTTGAAACATTAACGTTTCAGGGATGTAATTTCTTTCTTCCACACAAAACATATCTTTTTCAGTTGTGACAGTGTTCTGTGCATATGATGACCTCCATTTATATGATAGGTTTATTCTGCCCTTTGTGAGCACACTTCAAGTATTTTTTGCATTTTGACTGGGCTAACAACATGGATGTATACAGCCATACACAAAAAATTTCTAAAAGATCAAGCACTTGTCCTTTCAGAAGAAACATGGATGTATACAGCCATACACAAAAAGTTTCTAAAAGATCAAGCACTAGTGTGTGTATAATTATGATATGGAACATATGAAACTGTGGTTTGAAAATGTGTGTGTGTGTGTGTGTGTATAATTATGATAAGGAACATATGAAACTGTGGTTTGAAAGAAATACTCTTGTTATCAGAATGAAAAGATAAATAGCCAAAGACAAAATTTACATATTCAGTTCTTTAAAACATGAAATAAATTAAGTGTTATGAAAGAAATATATTTTCAAATGTTCACCAAAATCAATCAATCCTGCAGCAGAACTGGGTTATATATGTTCTACAGTCTATATAGTTTAACAAATTAACATGTACTTAATATATTAGCTTACTGAGTCTTTACAATACTGTAAAGAGCATAAGAGTATGTGCAGTAGACATTGTTAAGCTTGACAATTTGTACATCTCCTTACATAGGATAAAATGGTTGAATGTAGAATGAAAATCAGGTTATAAGTTTTAAATTAGAGGGATGGGAAAGATATGTGTATGTATATGTTAAGATTTAGCATCCAAAGTATTCTGTTGTATTTTAAACAATTAAGAATATTCATCTAAACACTTACCAGCACAAAAATTCTTGAAAGTAACACAATAGCATGGGTAACAATAATCCAATTTTTCCAATTAAATTAAAGTACACAGAAAAAAAATTCAATTTAATTTGTGGTACTGGACAGTCTTCTGCTTATTCTCTTCCCATAATCAAGTACGTGGAAGCTCAAGATAGTCAATGTGTTTCCTCCATGAGAAGGGACTTATCAACTTATATCTTCTTCCTCTTCCCCTCTCATTCTTAGTCGCACAATGGTTCACTGCATCACGTGTCATTCTTGATGTCTGGGAGGCACTAAGGTTATAAATGTTTGTTTTGTTTGCCGACAATGAAGGGAAACTAGAATACAACAAGTGAATGCATAAATAATTACATTATTTGAATCAGATATCCAAATGCTACTGAACAACATATTACCATATGTAAAAGTTAAATTTTCTGTTTATAATCATATTTATTAATGTTGCATAAGTCCAGAAAACTTACTGTTATATCCTAAAAAGACTTGCTCTGAGTATTCAACATTTGTAATTTAATTGCACTTCAATATAAAGTCAGTTACATATTTATATTGACATTTTTTTATTATACATACAATACAATAGTACAAACCCAGAAGTTGTATCTTGGTTAATCAACAGAGAATGAATTAGGAATAAGAAGGCAAAAGGTGATGAAGAAAATTTTAAAACATTAAATGAATGTCATGCTTTAAAAACAAGTAGGGAAAAATTAAGTACTTGTATAGAATGGTTCAAATTTATCACTTATACAATATAGGATCTAATTTGTGAATTAAATATTTAAAAAATATATAGAGGTTTATGAAGTTAACAGCATACTTACTGCCAGTTAGTATTAAAAATGCTAAGTTCATTTTAATACATTCAACCTTGATGTTTCAGTTAACACCATTCCAAAGATGGCTTACACCGAGTATTAAAGGTTGTGCCTTGTGCACATGAATTTATGAACTGCTTTGGCTGTGAATACATAATATTTTACCGAATTTAAATTAGATAGCAAGTGCTGCCAACTACTTTGTGTGTATTTTCTTCTGCCCTCAGTATGTAAGTGTGTGTGAGGGGGATTGTTGATTGCTTTGTGGGTTATGTAAAGAATGCTTTACCATCCAATGTTGAATGATAGCATGATTTGAAAGATGATTTGGAAGTACAACAGGCCCCCACTGTGGTTCAGAGCCACCGTTAAACTGTATGATCCCTCTGTTAACTATTATATTTATAATTCCCCAATCACTGAGTGTAATGGGAAGCATTCGATGGATGTATTCTAGATTTATAAAAGACTTGTGGTGATTATATGCAATAAAATTTTCTCAGGCAACAAACCATGTCAAAATGGCCAGATCCTTCAAGAGAAAATAAATAGGGTTATAAACGATTTGCCACACGCCAAAAGTTGGAGCTCCGTGTCCAGTTCTGTGGAACGAATGTTCTCAAGAAAGGTGTAGTGAATATAGAAATAAAACTACACTATAAATTACCACGTCAAATTAGGAAAGTAGAGAAAATGGGGGCATTCAAATACGAGCTAAGGTCCTACCTATTACAACGTACATTTTATTCGGTAAATGAATGTTATATAAATCAGAAGAGTGTATTTGAGTAGTACATTCTATGAATTGTATTTATATTGTGTTGTAATATTGATATAACTTGTGAGCTATATATTTTAAATATGTATCCTTTGCCAATGTTTCGATTAAGTAGAAAATATGTATCCTTTGCCAATGTTTCGATGAAGTAGGTTGAATAAGATTCAATTGAATTAAGAAAAGTCAACATTGTTGGCAGGCTTGAAACGTCTGATGTAATCGCGATGGCCATATAATCGATTCCATGAGCAAGAGTATTGAGAGTTTCACCACTGTGGGCAACGTAAACATTTTTGGTCTGTGACCTTTCGTCTTGAGTATTGGCATTAAAGTTAAAGTAAACACTAAAGAGAGCAAAAATATAAACGTTTGTTTACTCTTACGAATTTATCACTTATGTTTTCCTTACTACATAATACGTTATACGGATAATGTAGTGGTTTATAATCGCGTACCTTCCACGTCCACATGGTAGAATCCCGGTTCTGAGAGTTAAGTGTGTAATTTTGTACCAGCTGTTGGTGTGTGAGAGACCAATTCGTATAGATATGTGTAATTGTTCTGGTCTTCTGATGTATGATAAGTAACGATGGTGCAGCCAGTGCCTGAAACAATCGACTTTGCTAAAGAGGAAGAGAAAATAATTGAACTTTGGAAGCAATTGGACGTATTTCAAACATGCCTGAAACAATCGAAGGGGAAACCAAGGTTCTCGTTCTATGATGGGCCACCGTTTGCAACTGGACTTCCCCATTATGGCCATATCCTTGCAGGGACAATTAAAGATATTGTTACTAGACATGCACATCAAAGAGGTTATCACGTGGAGCGCAGGTTTGGTTGGGATTGCCATGGTTTGCCTGTGGAGTATGAAATTGATAAAACCTTGGGGATAAAGGGTCCAGAAGATGTTGCAAGGATGGGAATAGACAAGTATAATGATGAGTGCCGCAAGATTGTAATGAGATATGCATCGGACTGGGAAGTCATTGTTGGTCGTCTTGGCAGGTGGATAGATTTTAAAAATGACTACAAAACCATGTACCCATCGTTCATGGAATCAATCTGGTGGGTGTTTAAGGAGCTGTTTGTGAAAGGAATGGTGTATCGTGGAGTGAAAGTAATGCCATATTCTACTGCTTGTAACACTCCTTTGTCCAACTTTGAATCTGGTCAAAACTACAAAGAAATTGTTGACCCAGCTGTGATTGTAAGTTTTCCAATTATTGGGGAAGAAGATGTGCAACTTTTGGCGTGGACTACAACACCCTGGACCCTGCCAAGTAATCTAGCACTGTGTGTGAATCCAAATCTAGTATATGTGAAGGTAAGAGATCATGCTTCTGGAAAAGCATACATTTTGATGGAGAGTCGGTTGGAAGCACTTTATAAAAAGGAGGATCAGTATACTGTTTTG